AAATATATTTAATATATAAACGTAAAATTTTTCTTATATATATACATGCATGTGTGTGTATTTATATATACATAATAAATATACACAGTATACACACACATATATTATGTAAACAAAAACTTTTATTTTGGATGCAATTAATCACGATTAATCGTTTGACAGCACTAATTTATTTAAATAAAATTGTTAATTATAAACTATAAAAACAATACATAATTAATTTAAATAACATAGTAAATAAAAAAATCTATAAAAAAGTAAAATAATATTTAGTCAATTTAAAAATAGTGAATTATGTCTGCATAATTTCTAGCTATTATTGCTTTAAAACCTTATAAACTGTATTACGAATAGTTGTTAAACTATAAACTAACAAAATAATTTTGTTTCTTACATTTATTTATATCTTTGTTATTTATATTTCATTTACATTACATAATTTGTTTATTTAGTTTTATTTCATAATTAATTCCCTAAAATGTTTAACAAAGTACAAAGTGCTCCATCTGTTATTCATTTATTCACATTTATTTTTATATTTATGTTATGTGTTTATTTATACTTTTAAGTTCACAACTTACTCATTAATATCTTTAACACAAAGTCCTCCTCACGTGCATGTTATTCATTCATTTATATTTTTATTCAAATATTTGTATTTAAATATTTTAAGTTCAATATTCATTCCCTAAAATCTTTAATACAAAGTCCTCCTTATATATGCATGTTATATGATTTATTAATTTTATTTTATTTTTATGTAGACATTATGTTCATATTTCCCTAATATCTTTGACACTAAGTCCTCCATGCATGCATATTTCAGTCTGCTGGGCGAAGCGTCTGACCTGCACCATGATGAGTTTGCGTTCTCGCGGTCTGCCGTCGGGCCACTCCTCACCAAAACACAGGTGAATGTCATAGAGAGGAGATATTTTTCATTTTGGTTAGTTTTTAACAAAAACGTACTTTTGAGAAGTTATTTTATAATGAGAGTACATTGAAAGCTTTGAAAATATCTATAAAGCAACTATAAAGCAATCCTTAACATTTTATTTTAATATTTAACATTTGAAGTTTTCATAATCTGTTTAGAAAAAAAACATATTACACATTAATGAATAAATCTGTATATATATATATAAATTATTTAATTTACAAGTGTCTTGTTTGATTTTTATTCATGTAAGCTATACCTTCTGACCTTTAAATTAAACCATACTCGTGTTTTTATGACATCAATTACTCCTTTATTTAATCAGAGACACAATCTTAAATGTTGTTTGTGTATTTTACTTTCATTTTATTACAAGTAGGCCAAAAGCGCCCCCTAAGTAAATAAAAGGCCTTTCCGGAGAGGCATTAGGACCCGGGGGAGGCTGTTGCTGCCGCTGCTCGCGCTAGTGACTGTTGACTCTATCGCACACCGGACACATCATTCTGTACGTGCATTCTCAAATTAAATGCTCAAAACAGTGAATCTAATCATCATTCAGGAAAAAGTTCGCTTCAAGAATGACCCCACTGCTGACGTGATCTTATCGCTATCACACCCTGAGCACATGCGAGTTGCTCATCTTATCGGCAAGGCATATCGGCATAATTTTTCATATCGGGCCGATGCTGATATTTGCATTTTAACCCTTTCGCACGTGAGTTTAAAATATTCTAGCTGAGCCCCCAGCGTGAGTTTTTTTTTAGGCGACCGTTATTTTAAAATGTATCGCCTTATTGTTTCCATGGCGACGTGTCATGCTTGTGATGTGACACAACGCAGCCACAATAGCTCTGTATGACACATGCATCGCTTTTATTTAGTTTTTCCGGTTTTATTCGAAATATTCACAAACATGCTCACTATATTATGAAATATCTGATATTCCGATTCTGAAATATGTGCAATTAAATCTGTTTGGTAGTTTAAACACTTTTATATCGACCGTGTTAGTTGATCTATACCGGGTGATGGGCGCCGCCATGTTAGTTCGCGCTGAATCCGAGCTGTGGGATTTACAACACGCAAATTCATCCTCTCCTCCCGAAACACGTTAAAGTAGGTCTCCGGTAAACTGGGAGAAGAGCAGAGTAAACTTTATAGTTACCTATACAATCTGTATATGATATCAATAAAAACATGTCGTCAGATTATATTTGTAAGGATCATTATTGCCGTTTCCATAAACATCAGCGTGCATTTTACAAACTGTAAATGTATGGTTTTGCTAGTACTTATGTGTATTTAAATGTCTGAAACCTAAAATAAGTATCATATGGTTGAAAACAATGACTATTTGTGATACTATGACAAGCGCTCAGCGCGTCTGATCTGGCTCTGCGCCAGCCAAAGCACGAAAGCGGATTTAAATTCAGCAGTTGATGACGTGACGCACTGAACGTTCTAATCACACCGGTGTGATCGTACGCTTCAGGGACCAGCCAAGACTGATCACACCGGTGTGATCGTACGCGTTAAAGGGTTAAGCCATTTTCGGCCGATTCCGATAACGTTCCGATAATATCGCGCATCCCTAAATATAATATAATATAATATATAATGTTAGTCTGATTAACCCATAAGCCTTCAATTCGTAAGGTAGACATAATATGTCGGGATGCCACAATTCTCAATATAATATTGAACTGTTCGGTACGACATCCACGGTTCAATACGCGCTTGTGAATTGCGTTTTTTTTCCCGGTTTTGCATTTAAATAACTTCTAGGCATTGTATTTCTCTCTGAACTGGCTCTGTTTGCGTCCGTGTTCTCAGTTCACGCACTGAGACCAAGAAACGCCTCTCTGCTTATAATATGCTTCTGAAAAAGCAACACTTCTGTGATGCACATGTGGAGTTTCTGTGCGAGGGCGCCCTCTGGCTTCCAGTATGAATGAAACGGACATTACATGCATTTATAGCGATCAATAATGGCCAATCCATCCTATTTCGGGAAAAAAATAGGAAAAACAATACTTAAAGGGGTCATATGACATTGCTAAAAAGAACATTATGTTGTGTATTTGGTGTAATGCAATGTGTTTATGCGGTTTAAGGTTCAAAAAACACATTATTTTCCACATACTGTACATTATTGTTTCTCCTCTATGCCCCGCCTTTCTGAAACGCGTCAATTTTTACAAAGCTCATTGTTCTGAAAAGCGAGGTGTGCTCTGATTGGCCAGCTATCCAGTGCGTTGTGATTGGCCGAATACCTCAAGCGTGTGACGGAAATGTTACGCCCCTCACCATACTGTGATGCCGTGTCCCGGCGCGATGAGACAACACCAACAAAACCTATTACAAACGAGGCATTTGTTGCAATCAGTGGGGACATAATTACTGATTATAATGACTTATACTGTCTTTTTACGCGTTGCGTTGCATTGCGCCACGTAAACATAAAACTCTACACTGCTCAAAACTCGCGTTTGAATCGTCAGTGGCAAATTCTTTAAATATGAAAACGTACTTACAGACTGTGAGTCAGAAGCGCCAGACTGTCCTTGCAAAGTTGGAACTGCCCCACTTTATAGAAACTGCCTTTGTGCACAGACGCATTACTCTGCAGGTTCAGGAAACAGTCTTCCATAAAATGCGCTGCACACATCTGAATATTTGGGTTGAACTGTTCTGGAACGGTGTTGTAAATACAACTTAACCACTGATTTCTAGTTGTAAAATCTTTTGGAAGGCCAAACAAAGTAGTTTCGCTTTCACAACGAAAAACACAGCGGCCTAGCGTGAGCGAAAGCCCCGGCTTAGCCTGAGCTGAAGCCGGGCAAGAGTGAGCTGAGGCGGCGGGGTCGAGAACGGCG